TCCTGTTATTTTCCCATGGAAACATCATCAATAAAAGATGTTTTGAATATTTTTGACATCACTATTCCAATTTCCTAGATCTGCAGAAAAAACTGTGACATAAGCATGCCTCTGCCCTTTTGCCTATGAGCACACTGGAGGACCACATGGCATCTTGGCCCATGTGGAAGTCAGCTCCTAGATGAGGGCTCAGATGTGCCTTCCCAAAGCCCTGGCCTCCAAGTCTTCTTATGTGTGAATGCAGCTGAATCACCCAATACAGCAATGGATATAGGTTGGGTTCTCAATGTCAAGCTAGTTATTAAAGCATGAAAAGCCTTTCCCTCCCTCTCTCAGAAGATGAATTTTAGCTTTTGAAGACCAGCCTGGGACAGTCATGGGTGGGAGTGATTTAGAGTCCCAGAGTTGTAAGGATTGGGAGGATTGGTCTTCCTGCTTGTGGAACCCATGGGAGTTAAAAGCTGGGGCCCACTCTCACAGAGGCCTCAAAAACAAAGAGGGCAGCCCCATGCCTCATGAGGCACACCACACAGGGCTTGGAGAGAGTGCAGTTAAGTCCTGGGATGGACCAGATGGACCATGACAAGGCTAACTGAACAATAGTCACTTCTTTGCTATTAATTTTGTAGATCATATGAGATATAGGTTACTTTCTATGCTGTGATAAAAACACGGATCAAAAACAACTTGGTTTGATTTTATTTTATCTTACATCTCCCAAGTCATAATTCATCACTGAGGAAAGTCAGGATAGGAACTCAGGGCTGGAACTTGGAGGCAGGAGCTGAAGCACAAAACATGGAGGAGGAATGCTGCTTACTGGCTTGCTCCCCTGGCATATGCTCAGCCTACTTTCTTATACAATACAGGATCACCTGCCCAGGGACAGCACCACGCACAGTAGGCTGGGCCCTTCCACATCACCCAACAATCAAGAAAATGTTCCACAGACATGACCACAGGCCAATCCAATGGTGAAAATTCCTCAATTCAAGTTCCCTCTAACCAGGTGTGCCAAGCTGACAACTAAAGCTATCCAGCACACCAAGGGAGGAGGAAGTTTCCACTGAGGCCCCATGATAGAGGCCATTTACTGCCAAATTCCATTAGTTTGTCCCTTAAACAAGCAGATTTTTCCACTACATACTGTTTTGCATCTGTAGTTCAATCTTTCATATATTCAGTAAATAATGCTTAACATAAGTAGCTTATTAATAACTCTTTTAAAATTGTTTTTAAACTTAAAAAATTTTTATTTTTATTTTATGTGTATGCATGTATTGCCTGCATGTAAGTAAGTGCACTCGTGTTGTGCAATGCCTGCGGAGGTCAGAAGAGGCTGTCTAATCCCTGGGGACTGGAGTTACAGATAGTCGTTAGCTGCCATGTGGGTGCTAGAATTCGAACCTGGGTCTTCCGCAAGAACAACCAGTGTTCTTAACCGCTAAGCCATCACACCCGTGTCGTGCAATGCCCACATTGGTCAGAAGAGGCTGTCGGATCCCCCGGGACTGGAGTTACAGAGAGTTGTTAGCTGCCATGGGGGTGCTGGGATTCAAACCCAGGTCTTCCAAAAAAACAACCAAAGTTCTTAACTGCTGAGCCATCTCTCCAGCCCTGCTTATTAACTTTTTAAATTTTATTTTTTGTTTTTTCAGACAGGGTCTCCCTGTAGCCATACCTGGCCTGGAACTCACTATGTATACCAGATTGGCCTTGATCTCACAGAGAGCTGCCTGCTTCTGCCTCCCCAGTGCTGAGATTAAAGGCATGCACCACCATACCTCACCTTACTTATAACTCTTAAAGCATTAATCTAGCAGAAAGAGGAATTTACAGGGTGGCTTTCTCAAGTAGCTGTTTTAAGGTAGAGTTCCATCTTCCTTATGGATATGAATGGTAACAACAAAGGCCCAGGAGCAAAGCCTGGGGGCAGGGAGCAAGGAGCTTTAGTGGCCAGATTCCTCATCAGATGTGATGGGAGCACTAGGTAATTCTCACCAGAATCTGGATACAGGAAGAGTCTGAGAGACAGTCTAGCAGTAGCCATTGCTTAAGAATAGAAGGAGAGAAGTTTGGAGACCTAGATGGCTGGTGGGCTCGGGTAAGGTCATGCTGTACCTGCCAAGGGATTGCTTTGCTCTACCAAGGGAACAAACTGTAGGGATGCAGCGAGTCCTGTGCAGAACCCCGAGTTTCAGACCCTTATTGCATCAGTGAATGCTCCCTGAACTGTGGCTGGTGGCTTCATCAAAGCCCCTGGTTAGTGGAGACCCGGGGCAGGGTATTTCTTTCTATTCTCTCAGGGCACAATCTAAACAGTGGAGTGTTTATGCAATTTATACCTTAACTGTATCAGCTTATACTTAAAAAATCTTTTAAAGATATTTCCTTATACTGGATGGTTGAAGCCAAATAGCATCCCTTAAAAATGCTGGTCCAGCAGTAAAATATAAGTGATCTGAATTAACATGTAATATAGCAGTCTTCTTTTGTTATTGGGGGTACACATCTCAAGGCCATAGTGTATGCATGAATCTGCATAATACCAAGCCTTCCAATAGCACCTAGCTCTAATGCCCTAATCTGTGCATAGTACCAAGTCTTCCAAAGCACTGAGTTCTACTTTTTGACATGAATTGTCTGTGGGATTTTTCCATTTTATATTTTCAGACCTGGATTGATCATGAATAACTAAAGCCTCAGGCAGTGAAGCTGTGGGTAAGAGGGTCTACTTTATATGAAAAAAAATAACAGGAAAGACATTCAAAAGTAAAGGCTTTGCTGGACATGATTTGGTTGAAGGATGAAGCCAGTATAGCAACCCTATTCTTGCTCTTCAACAGGACATGGGGCTTCAAACAGTGCTGTGTGTTCTGGTGATTGCAGCCTGAACTTCCTAAGTATCTGAGCTGATGCTTCATTCAACTGAGGTTAACTCACCAAGCTTTTCTTTACTAACCCACACTAACTTGCTCCCTCTGTATGAAGAGTGACTCTTTTGCTTAAAATACTTTATCTGAATAGCCATCTGGAGGCGTGTTAGGTTGGTATCCTCCATGGCAGGTGGCATAGGTTACCACCAACTCCCTGGATTGCTTTGTGTTTGTGACTCAGACAAGGGTGCAAGGCAGAGCAGGGCTGCAGTCAGTACAATGTTTCTGACAGCTGTGTAGTGGCCAAGACAAAAATCTGTTCTCAGTCACAACACCACCTCCAGCACAGTGGTGGGGGACACGGGTCTGTTCTAAAGCCAAGAATACCATAGGTGAAGCCCACCAGTCTTGAGGCTGAGACTTCAGCACAAGGCTCTCCAGTACAAATGAGGCTTCACCAACCCCCTTCCATGCCTTTGTCTATGTAAGTCTTCTGCTTCCCTGTGGGACAGATGGATGAGAAGAGCCCCTAGATAATCTCATAAACCTTGACACAAAACTAGTGTACTAGAAGCTCCAAGTGGGTTAAAATGCCTGTGATATCGACTTTCTGGGCTCTTCCCATTTTCCCTGAGGAGTCACATGCTGCTCTTATGACTGCTGTTCTGCACCCAGAGGGAGAGCTGCACAGACTGTGTCAACAAGCACTCCCTCATTGCCTTTCTGCCAGTGTGATGCCCTGCTCAGGGCCTGCACAGGGAAGGAAGAGTGAGGCGAGGGTCTCTTCTTCAGCACCTCTCTCAGCCACAGCTCTCTCGACACAGCTGCTCATCTTTGCCAGCACAGGGTTGGCAACAGTCCTGCTGGGCTGGTCCCAGGCATGGCACTATCCTCTGGTGTCCTTAACCCCTGCCCATTTCTTGACATACATTCTCTTTGCTGAACCCCATCATCTCATTAGGTTTCTATCAAGCTGTACCTTGACTACCCATGCCCAACCTCCAGCTCCTCTTTTTCATCTTTTTCTGAAACACTCATAGGTGTGTGGCAGTGCTCACTGGGTCTTAGCCAAGAGCTAAGTTCTACTTCTAAGAAGCTGTGTGGCTGGTGGAAGTCCTCACCAGAACCCTTTCTCTGCTCTCTACTAAGATGCCACACCTAAGAGACTTCCCTTCCCTCTCTGTTGGGACAGGTTACCTGGGAGTTCCCCCAAAGACCAAGATTCTGGAAGTCGAGGCTCCACTCCCCAGCAGATGGGAAGAGTTGGCTGAAGGTCAAGTCAGAATCAAAGACTCTGGGTCGCAGCCCCAACAGGAACAGTGGGATCCACTGCTAACATGTTGCACACAGACTTGGACCCACCTATGAGATGCGTGACTTAGAAAGGGCATCTTCTTCTATATACATGTCTGAAAAATCCCTGAATATATATTGCCTTATCTCCCAAAGAACCTCCAGCTGTCTAGACATTTGCTTTGAGCCAATTAGCATTTCCACAGAACGCCAAAGAGGAGACACTGTCTTACTTCTCTGTTCCTCCCTGGTCTATTAGGGTCATGAGGTAATGCTAGGCATGAGGAGACTGAAGTCAGGTTTTGTTTTTCCTCCACTGGGAGGCCAGAAAGGCTGGAGGCAGGCAGAGAAGTGGCAGCTATGTGACACATCTGTCCTCACAGTTTCTTCTGGCCAGCAAGGCTGTCATCTTTGCATATGGAAAACTGAGGCTCATGGCACAGGGCTTGTCCACATGCACAGGAAGTGATAGCAACCCTGGCTTCTCTATGAATCCTGGCTTCTTACCCTCTTTCTTCAGTGTCCATGGAGGAGCAGGATGAGGAAGATAAAAGTAAGGCAGAGCTGCCTGAAGCCCCTTTGCAGGGAAGGACTGGAACTTAGGAACAAGGAAAATAACTTAAGAGATACCAGCAAGCCTGCTCATCAGCCCCACATCCAGCCAGTACCAGGTGACAGAATGCAGTGATCTTAGAGTAGGATTGGTGCAGATATAGAATCCCGAGGGCAAATCCCAAGAACCTGAGTCCCCTCCTGTTCACTGAGGAGATAGGACCAGGCTGCTACTCCAACAGCCCATGGAGCAGGGGCCTGTGGGCAGCAGTCACTCACCTGCCTGCTCCAGAGCAACCATGGTGGCCTGCTCGATCAAGTCCCGCTCAATGAAGCTCCTGAAGTCCTCACTGTAGACACTTAGGTCCGGCAGCTGGAATGTGTAGATGGGCATCTCCAGTGGGAACTGCTCATTGTTACATTCATTCGCTACATGGGAGCGGGCCAGGGAGACGATGGCTGAGCTGGCATGGGAGATCCCCCGGGAAAGGCGCTTCTCTGCTGGCAAAAAGGAAAGACAGCCATGGGGACCATGTCAGTGTAAGTGTAGATCTGAGAGTGCATGCTACCATGTTTGAGCACATGCAAGTGCACAAAGCACACAGAAACATGTGCACACATACCACATACATGCAGACACATGAAGGCACAGACACATACAAGCACACACAAATACAGTATGAACAGACATATACAGACATATACAACACACACATACCCCTCACATATACACATGATTAACCAAATACACACACATGTAATATACACATGTACATACTATGTATGCACATATATACACAAATATGTATACAGATAGGTGCAGGTGTATATATATATATTGCACACTACAGATAAACATCCATATGTACATATATTGCACACAATTATGTACACAGTATGCAGAACTATATATAGGTGTATGTTCACATATACATGACAATTTTAGATGACACATTATTTACATACACATGTACACAGTCACACACTGCTATACACACAAGACATACATGCATTAACATACATATACATGTGTCCATACATATATTAGATACTACATATATGAACACATATCCACATGCTCTTGCACATACACACAGATGTATGTGTGTACACTACATGATACATATATCTATATATTGATATCTATATCTATATGTATATATATAATATGATATGAATACAAGGACATACAGCACATAAATGCACAGCTATGTACACACATACCACACACATAAAGGACCACACATGTATGCCACACATGCATACACATACATCCATAATCTTCTCACACCAGCTCTTCTAACTCTAAGACTCTTCTTCCCTGCAGGCTTCCTGCAGCTAGACTAAACATCACCACCTGGTGTGTGGCCCTTCCTCAGCCAAGTCATGAAACCACTGAATGGGGAACTGTGAGCCCACTGACCAGAGCAGCAAGCTTGCTTATGGTCTTGAGTTCCATTGAACTTAACTGCAGAATTTCCCTCCTAGCACTGAATGGCACCAGGGAGATCATCTCTGCTTTCATTTACAAGTTTAAGGTAAGAAATATCCTATTCAGGCTTCTTCTGCTGTGGCTCAAGCTTTGTAGACATGGGCTGTTTTGTTCAGCTTCTCTGATGAACACGTACCACATGGGAATCCAGGGGATCCCTACGAAGTCTGCATGTGCTTCTCGTCTGTCTGCAAGCTCTTTTGTCCCAGAACTCTCCAGTGTAGCATTCTACTCTGTCCTGTTCTTTGTGAGCTTTCATTTCAAAGAATGAGGGAGGAAGTGGAGAACATTTCTGAAGCATGGTATGTTGTCTTGTTAGGACTGTGATCGCCTCAGGAACCGAATGCATTTGCTTTCTTGGCACAGTAAAAATTATTTTTGTTTCTTTAATCCTAGTGCTTAATGGACAACATAGAACGTAAACCAGGCTTCATTTTTTTTATATAACCCAGGCTGGCTTTGAATTTGCAATCACCCTGCCTCAGCTTTCAAGTACTGCTACAGGTGTGTGCCTGGCCTTAAGCAATGATTCTGGATCATATAATGTGGAAATAATCATTGTTTGTTAGCATCCGTGTTTATGGCTGTGGGGATGTTTGTTAGCAAGAGTCCTTTTATTCTGGTCATGGAAGCAGGTCTATGGGTGTTTAAATGCGAGTACTGTTGACACCCTCTAGCAAATTCCCGAGTGTGTGCACTTGAAAATGATACCCACCTTATTTTAACCTAGCTGCTCCCTGGTAAGGATGTTCTTCTGTGGCACATCCCTGCCATGTGGAAAATCCCAGCTACTGCCTTTTCAAGAGTTGGACTTTCTACAGTCTCATTTGTAAGATCAGTGGGCAGAAACGGCATTAATCAAATTTTGTCAAGGCAGGCTGGAAAACAGAGGCATGGCAACCTGATGCATTTGCCCATTCAATGAAGAGTAAGTCACAGAGACAATATATTTCAGAATGGATGGCTTTAACTCACCTCAGTTTCATTCTGAGACAATGTGATTAAGTTATTTTGTATTTTGATGAAAGGAAAAAAGAGAAATGGAATCCTAGAGTCCATTAGGAAGAAGAGAAATGGAAAAGAGGAGCTTGGCTGATCTGTCACTGGGAGATGCCCTCTCTGCTTCTTGCACTTAGCTCAAATCCTCAAGAGTGGGCACCAAGGAGACACTGAATGGCTCAGCTTTGTGTAGACCATGAGGAGGACTCATGTCTTTTTTGTGTGTTTGGGAATAAAGGAACTACCCCATTTTTGGGTCCCAGTGGAGCGGGGAATCAGGTGTTAGCTATACCTTCTCCTTTTCTATATTTAAAAAATTGATTACATTTATTTATTGATTGTGTGCGTATGCATTGTGGGCATTTATGCCATGTCAGAGGAAAACAAGTTGGTTTTCTCCTTTCACCATGTGGGTGCCACAAATTGAATTAGGTCTTCATGACCTTGAGCTGGACAGGGCTTCCCTCTGTTTTCTGTAGTTTTGATGCTAAGGTCTTTGGGATGTCACTGACTGGGGAGAGTTTGCTCCTCATGGAGCCAGTCAAGTTTTAGAGCAAGTGATTTGCTAGGTATACCTTTCATATGTAAACCAAGCCACCCAGGGTCTTCTCCCAACTCTCTTCTCCAGTTAGCTCTAGCATCCTGGGAAATATCCTATATCCTTATATCCTCTGGCCTATTCACCACTGGACTCACACTCGGCTGTGCCCCAGAGCCTGCTGAAATGATTCAAAACAGCTAGTCCCAGGTCTGCTTCTCCTAGCTCACTGGCCTTTTCCATTGAAGCCACAATAAAGGCACTGACCTCACTCTCCCCTCCCCCCAGCTCCCTCTGCCTCCAGACCTTCTGGTGTGGTGCAGTACCTGGCTGTGCTCCCAGGCTGTACTCCCAGGTTTAGGGAATTGTGAGTGAGAACTTCCTCATGCAGTCATTTCTGTGTCACTGTGTCTTACCAAAACTGATTAAAATGAACACTGAGTACATTTTAAAACAGGTGGGCAGACCTTTTCTAAAAGAACAGATAGATATTTTAGGCTTTGTAAGGCACACAGCCTGGGTCTTCACGGCTTACCTCTGTAGCACTAACACAGCCACAGAGGACACACACACATGGGTAAGCATGAATGTGTTTCTGGAAAACGCTATTTAAGAAGCAACAGCCAGATTCTGCTCATAGCCATCACTTCCTGACTCCTGAGGTAGAGCATGGAAACTTCATTTAGAACATTGTGATGTTAGAAAGAACTCGGCGAAGGGAGACACAAACCTAATTTAGAAACTCTTTAATTTCTGTTTTATTACAAAATAGGTCTGGGGCTGGGGAGATGGCTCATGCTGTGTAAGCATGAGGACCTGTGTTCAAATACCCAGCATTAACATAAAGGCTGGGCATGGCCAAACATGCCTGTAACCCCAGGGTTTAGGGGTGAAGACAGCGAATCTCAAGAGCACAGGCACACACACCTCCATATGTACATGCACACACACACATACGCGCACACACACACACACACACACACACACACACCCTCTCACACAATAAATCTGTTTGTCTATAAGGCTTAATTAACAGGATGATGCTATGATAAACTCCTGCTTTTTCCCGAAACCATATCTGACAAAGTCTGACAGAGCAGGTCCAGTGGCATTTACTGGGCTACAATTCTGCCAACCTTTCTGGAAGCTGAGAGGAGGGTCCTCCAGTGTCTCCCTGGGAGGATGAGCCCACCAGCTGGTTTGTTGACTGTAGCAAAAAGAACAGTGCCTGCCACACGTCACCTGCCTGGGATGGCACTTCCTGAACAGTGTTGCTGGTAGTGTGAACAGTTAGGGAAGGAACTGAGGAGGAAGAAACCAAAGGCTGCAAGATGTGGTCCTTCCTGAACCAGACCTAATGGCCAAGGGCAGACAGAACTTGTGAGGGACATAACAAGAAGATGATGGAGAGCCTACCTCAGCATCCTCTCTACACCTACCCTGGAGAAACATGGGAGTGGAGGCCGGGGAGGACATTCTGGTTATGTATTTTCTTTCCTAGGTAGTGGCCTGGCTGCTCACTGTTGTCACAAGAGGGTTGGCAAGCTGCTTTGTGGGTTCAATACCAGCTAGGGAGGGTACCAGTAACAAAGAGCAAGACCTCTCCTCCTTTCTCCAACAATCCCTGACAGCTGGGAAGCCCTTAGAAACAAGACATTTCTAGAATAATGTTGATAGAAGTTTCCCTGAGGAGAGAAATCAACTGAAGGGAAGGGAAGAGAAAGTTTTAAGCCTGAGTTGAAATATTTAAGGCCCAGCAATTTAATATTGGGTGACTATCCAAAGAAAAGGAAATCACTTTGAGACATCTCCCCTCTCATGTGCTCTCCAGCACAATTCACATCAGTTAAGAACAGAACTAACACAAGTACCCATCAACAGATGAATGGATTATGAAAATCAGGTACAAGCCAGGTGTGGTGGCACATGCTTTTAATCCCAGCACTTGTGAGGCAGAGGAAGGTGGATCTCTGTAAGTTCAAGGCGAGCCTGTCTACATAGTGAGTTCCAGGTCAGCTAGGGCTACAGAAGACACCCTGTATTAAAGCAACAACAACAGCAACAACAAAAAAACAAAACAAAAAAGAAAATCAGGTACAAACACAGAAGAGAGTATTACTCACTCATAAAAAGAATGAGTTAAGAGCACTGACTGCTCTTGCAGAGGACCTGGGTTTGATTCCCAGCACCCACATGGTGGCTATGAACTGTACTTAATTCCAGTTCCAGGGGAATCCGAAGCCCTCTTCTGATCTCTGCGGCATTGCATGACACGGGTGCACTCACATACGTGCAGCCAATACACTCATACACATAAAATAAAAACAATAAATATTCAAAAAAAGTGACTTTTAAAAGAAAGAATGAAATTGTGTCATTTGTGACAACATGGATGAACTTAAAGAACTTACACTGAGTGAAATAAGGCAGACACAGGAAGTCAAATCCCCAGATCTAGCTTACACACAGAAGCAAAATAAACCAATTGCAGTGTGGAGAGAGAGTGGGCATGAAGGGGAGGAGACAGAGGTCAGTGACTGGGTATAAAATTACAGTTAGATAGAGGAAATCAATTCTAATCTTCCACACCATAGTACAGTGACTACGGTTAACAATACACTGTCACTTTTTGAAGAAGATAGAAGAGAGGATTTTGAATATTTTCAGGTGATGAATGGGTAAGCTGCCCTATCAGGTCAGTACACACTGTTTACAAACATTGGAATGTCTAATGGCACCCCACGAATAGCTACAATTATTATGTATTAAGTAAAACACACAAAAAATTTAAGTCTCTCCAACTTCCGGGTCCTTCTTTCACACTCAAGTGGAAGAGGAGCAGCTAGCCCATGTGGCCTGCCTTTTCACTGATGTGCCAGGCTGAGGGACGGGCAGAGGAGCTCACAGGGAGGCCAAGGAAACATCTGAGGAAGGGAGGAACAGGTAAGAAGGTAAGCAAGATGAAATCTTAAAGTGTTTTTTATCTGCATTTCTCTAATTACTAAGGATGTTGAGCACTTTTTTTTTTTTTTTTTTTGGTCTTTTTGAGACAGGGTCTCCTTGTAACCCCAGCTGTCCTGGAACTCACTACGTAGACCAGGCTGGCCTTGAACTCACAGAGATCCGCCTGCCTCTGCCTCTAGAGTGCTGGGATTAAAGGCGTGCACCACCACGCCTGGCGGATGTTGAGCACTTTCAAAGTGTTTCTTAGCCATGTCAGATGTGTAGCTGGTGAAGATTTTCTCCTACTCACTGCGTTTCTTCTTTACTTCCTTGGTTGCTTCTTTTGCTGTATAGAAGCTTTCAGTTTAATGAGGTCCCACTTGTTGATTGCTGACCTTAATGTCTGAGCAACTGGCATCCGATTTAGAAAGTCCTTTCCTACACCTATATTTTGTAGGCCACTGCCTATGTTTTCCTCTAGCAATTTCAAAACTAATATTTCATCTTACCCCACTCAGACTGGTTAAGATCAAGAGAACAAAAGACATCAAATGCTGGTGAGGATGTGGGGAAAGAGGAACACTTATCCACTGCTGGTGGGATTGCAAACTTGTGCAACCACTATGGAAAGCCAAGTAGGGAACCCTTAAAAAACTAAAAATGAATCTACCATATGATCCAGTTTTACCATTCCTTGGCATATACCCAAAGGACTCATCCTATTGCAGAGATAACTGTATATCTATCTTTGTTTTTTCACAATAGCTAAGAAATGGAAACAATCTAAATGTCCCTCAACTGACATTTGAAAGCATACATTTACACAATGGAGTTCTACTCTGCCATAAGAAAAGACAAAAACAGGAAATTTGCAGGTAAATGGATGGAACTAGAAACTGTTATACTAAGTGAAGTAACACAGACTCAGAAAAGCAAGTGACATACGTTCTCCCTCATTTGCGAATCTTAGCACCAATCATCTGTATGTATCCTGATGAAATAGCAGGAGCCAGGAAAATGGAAAGGAACCACTGACATAAAGGGAAAGAAAGAGCCTGAGAGAGGGGGATAGTAGGAAACAGATGTTACCAAGGGGGAAATGGGGAAAATGAAGGAATTCAACTGGGAAGGGAGGAGGGAAGGACATACAAGGGGGTAGGGAAGGACATAACCAAGGCGGTAGAAGGGAAGAAAGAACTCAAGAGAGGGGGGAATAACAGGGGACAGATATTATCAGGAGAAAATTGAGAAAATGGGGGTACTTAAACTGGGGAGGGAGGTTAGACAGGGAAAGAGATAGGAGAGATAATAACGATTAGGTAGATTAGGCAGCATAAAAAGCTAGAAGGAAATGTATTAACTCAAAACTCCCATGAAAAATACACATACAATATCCTAACATGAGTACATGTGTACACCTGAAGGCTATATAACAAGGAACATAGTGCCAGACAGAAGAAACATCCCTTTGAATTGTTGGTCAAAAAAGACTCCCAAAATAGTGCAGGATATTGCCACAGTCCATGATTACCTCCAAGAACTTCAAGGTAAGACCCTATTGCTGAAGACAGGACAAACTTCAGACACAGGACTTGGAGCAATGGAGTTGGAACTGACCTGGAAACCTTCTCCCTGAAGACTAGTTCTCATATTTCTAGAGGATACTATGCAAGGTGCCAAGGGAGAAAATCAATCAGTTGTCCAACCCAGCTCCAAAGCCTAATAACTATAATGGCTGGCATAGCAAACCATCTCTATTGATGCAGTAGTGGTATTTTTATCCAGGGGATAATCGACAGCTATATAATTCAATTTAAAGTCCTTCAATGGGAGGAACTCATGGGTGGTGCTGTAAATACAGCCAGATACACATGGCTGAAATGGTCATAGATCCTAGAGAAAACTCTATCTCTCTCATATCTCTAGACAAATGAAATACTGTATGCTAAACATAAATCTTTATATTTACAGAGAAGTATACTGTATACCACTCATCAAAGAAGCTTCTTTTTGCAACAGATGGAGGTTATTACAGAGTTCTACAACTGATCACACATGGAGAATACATATCTGAGAGATGCCAAGCTCTAAGAGACACATCTATAGTGGAATTTCTGTACCTACTACTCATGGAACAAAGTGGATCGGGGGTAGAGAGAATGTTAATTCATCCCTCAACTCTCAGTAGCAAAGTTTCCTTATACCACAGAGTATGATGCATATAGAAGGCCACAATTGACCAGGTTTTAGAGAATAAGAGACTGCAGAGTATGTGTTTCAGGATATGACTCTGCTATTAAACCTCATCCATCCATGGCTCAGGGACCACTGTGGAAGAGAGGGTGGAAGATTGTAAGAGTCAGGGTTGGTGCATGAACATAAGGAAACAGAAGATTTCAGGCCTCTGGGAACTTGCTCATATGAACTTGCAACAATGGTGACTACATGCACAAGACCCATGTTGACTCAGTCGGACAAAAACTGAACATAGAAGGAAAATGGGCAGCAGGCCCCAACCCTAGCCAAGGAACTATTGGCAACTGATTACTGTGGGGTAAGGGAGAGTAGACATTCTTTAAGGGAGTATAGCAATTTTAATGTTTATATAGAAGCATAAATATGCAAAAGTAATGAGGACTTTGGGAAAAGCAGAGCCACAGGGAGTTTGCCTTAGCAGAAGTAATACATAAAAAGTGAGGAGAGTCGCCGCACCAGCTGGACATGGTAGATACACAGGGTCCACATGCAGCGTTGGCTAATCACTCTCAATTCAGAAGACAGTTGCCCTAGAGCCTTTGCTTATAAAAATTTCAAATTGAGGAACTAAATTGAAAAACAATCGGAAAAAGGTTTTAGTAACTGAATTCCAAGAGACTTTATAAAGCCAGAGAAAAGCTCATAGGTCACAGATATACTATCTATACTATATATTTCTCTATGGCAAAGTCTTTTGTCCATTAAGTCATAAGACAAATACACATTGGGAGACATGCACAGGCCTGGATGTAATTGTGTGCTGTCATCTCAAAGAGAAAGTCACAAACTGATAAGGAAAAAACATACCAATCGATGAAAAAATGAACCGCACATGAAAATAGGCATGTCGTAGAGTAGAAATCCAACCAACAAGCAAACAGCAAGGTGAAAGTTCAAATGAGACTCCACTTTTTACCCTTCAGAATAGACAACAAGGCAAAGCCACCGTAACAACATGCAGCACTGGCTGGCAAGAGCAGAGGGAAGCACGGGGTCACATACTCTAGCAGAAATACGGTAGCAGGAAATTGACACTAAACCATAGCAAGCCTGCTGTGTGGCACTACCCTAGAGACACTGAAGCTCCAGTAAATAGGATTTATAGGTATAAGGAGATTTGATTCAGCATTTCTTATCATGGCTAAGAAAAATCCAAGCTAAACCAGGATGACCATTTACGTAGGAGGTCTAAATCTAATAATGTACATCATGCAATAAGACGTAGTAACTAAGAGAATGTATTGGTGACTTACTAGCTCAGTAAAGTAAGCAATTTGTAAGCCATGATGTGCACTTGACTCTTATGTGTTTGCATCCTGAACAAGCCTAGCAGAAGGACTTAGCTGACCAGTGGCTATTACTACAGTCAGAGCTAGGAGATGTAACTAGAAAACTTTCAAGTTTCCTGTTACAATCATAGTTACAAGCATATCTTACTTTGATAATGAAGAAAAAGATTAACAGCAGAAATGCATGGAGCAATGAATATGGCAACTCAGCTGCATGGGAAGTGACTGGACTAGAGATGTTTGTCTGGAAGAGCAGGACTCCTGGGAGAATGCTGGTCATTAATCCCTCAAAGGACTTCTGAGTTACAGAGGCATAAGCCATACTCTCTGACTTTGCAGAAGCAGAAGTGGGGCCATGAATTCATGGTGCATTTCAGTGAATTATGAGGAGCAAGATACTGAGGTTCAGTCTCCCTGCCATTTGGAGATGCTGACTGCTCTGTTCTTTGCCCCTACAAGCTGTAGCATCCCTGGCAGCCATGCTTGGGCTCAGCCCCTTAGCTGGTACCTTGTGCAATGTCGTCCTGCCTCTGTAGGCAGGGCCGCTCCACCTTGTGCCCGGGCTGGGGTGGCTCTCGCTCAGGCTGCTTGGCACACCTCCCTTCGTTGAACACATGTGGCAGGTTGGCTGTGTGTACCTGGCGGAGTTGCTCATAGTCGCTTAGAGCAGCTGTCAGGTCCCAGTTTTTGCCTATGGACAATGAAAAGAAATTACAACAGAAATACATGAATAATGGTCTGTAGGAAAGCGAGAGTCCTGACAAGAAAAGGGGCCCATTAGCACATTAGCAAGCTAGTTCTTAGTTCCCAAAGGGGTAATCACCTTCTGTACTGAACTGCCACTATGCAATGAAATTCACCACATTTCATAAGAGTTTATGAACTCCCCAAGTTCTCACCATGGCAAATAAACTGCCCAGAGATTGAAACTGAGCCCAGTTCCCTTTTCCAAACTCTTGCCTGCCAATCATAACTCTTGAGAAAGAAGTGAGATAAGGAACAGAGCCCTGAAGCTTAAGTCAAAACCAGCTACTGTCTTATAAAATCTCCAAGAACACTTGCAAGGTTGTCCAGCTCTGGTATATTGTAGATCACAAACCTACTAAGCCCAAAATGTAACTGTTCTTTCTCCTTGACCAAGTTGATTTCATCTTGGTCACAAGGAACAAAACAGAGGTCAGAAAGAACAAAAAGAGCTCCAAATTTTGATGGATTTTACTCAGCTTGGGAGGGTTTCCTTTTGTGTGAGCTCTCAGCTAGAGCTCTCATCAGCCACAGCTCAGCTTCATCCAATCCTGGGTGTTGCGGGATTCAATTGCACATGATATACCTTCTCAAAGCAAATAATCAGAAGGTCAGCCTTGGACTGGGATGTAGCTCAGAGGAAGAGTGCTTGCTTAACATGCAAGAGGTCCTGGTTTGATACCCAGTACCACAATTAAAAAAGAAAAGAAACACAGCTTAGTCTTTTTTACCCTCTGACTTATTTTTTTTACTATTAATATATGTTAAAAGGACTCTGTAATTTGGTGGTTTCTAAACTTTTCAGTACTTCATCTTCTGTCCCCTGCATTCCAAGACAAGCTACCTCCATTCCTGTAGTTACTCCTGAGACAAACCTTGACATCACCCTTTATTTTTTTCCTTAGGAGATTTTTATTGACTATTTCTTTTTTTTTAATTCCAAAGAGAGACAACTTTAAACACATTTTCCAGAAATAACTTGAAGCAGGTTAATAAAAAATATATATACAATAAAGTTTAAGGGGGGAAGATAGGTATAAGAAATCAAAGACCAAAGGATTTGCCAACAATGGGGTCAACTTTGGTGGAATAATTTTTTAAAAATCCTAATGAGTTCATTGAGCTTTCTAACACAGAGCATAGGATGGGGGTTAATTTACAGAAGAGTGGGCATGCCCCCATTTGCAGCCGTGCTGGAAAGTCCACACTCAAATATAGATCCTCTGACTTCCCAACAGCTGCACAAAATGGCTAGAGAGGTGCCTCACGGCGTTCTTGGCTTATATATCCTTCCCCACATGCAGCTAAGGTGGACTGATTGGGTGAGAGGGGTAACTGACTCCCCCATTGACTCACTGAGGAGCACGGGAAGGAGGTGTGACTATATTTGCTGGTGTAGTGGTTGGAGGACACTTCCAGGTAACACTCCACCCCTTCTTCCTTGTCATCACCCTTTACTCCTTATCTTACTCACCATATGTCATTTATAAGAGTAGGCCTTGAAAATTACATCTTTAAAATGTATGACATATATGCACATACCTTACCAAATGCTCACCAGTATAACAATTATTATCTTTAGCTTATTCCGCCATGATCTTGTTAAATATACAATGGCTTTGCAGAGGACTTCCTGATTCTATGTTTCTGCTCAAGGCTGAAAACATGAGATTCTTTAAAGTATAAGGCTGATGCATGTCATTTCTGTTTAAGATCCTCTTTTGGGTAAATCAGTCATAATATAAATGGTCCTGCTAACTAATTCTGTCATCTCTTTTACTAGTGTTCTCTTCTTTAAGCTCAAATTCCCTCCCTCTTCAATCCCTTTGGAAATCTAAGAACACCATTGCATCAATGACCTTATATTTGTTCTCCCTTCTCCCTGAAACTCTTTTTAAAAATTGTATTTATTTTTAATTGAATTTTTGTGAATTTCATACATTTTGATTATATTTAGATAGGTCCTCTCCCTCATCTGTAATCTCATACTACCCCACCAATTTCATGTGCGTATATTAAGACCTATAGAGTCAAACTTATGTCTCCAAATGCCCTTCAGAGTGGGTCTAATCCCTGCAGCCTGGTCAACATACCAAGACCATACACGAGACTGACTCTCCCCTCCCAGCAGCCATCTGTTGCCAATAGTTCATCAGGTAGGGTTGGTGTTTCTTACCCACTTCCCCACATCCACGTTTGAATTTGTCTGGCTTGAGCTTACATGGGACTTATGCCTATTGTCACCATAGCTATGAGCTCATGTCTCCCGAGTTCTCTTAGGGTCCCTGCTCCTGGCACTATTACACAAACCACACAGAACATCTTTATCTGAATTTTTCATAGTCTACATCCTGGGTAGGGGGAATAGAGTAACTTACAAAGGTGAACACCCAGCGCTCCACAAAATCTATCTATCTATCTATCTATCTATCTATCTATCTATCTATCTATCATCTATCATCTCTATCTACCTACCTATCTGTCATCTATGCCTATAGAGTCAAACTTATGTTCCCAAATGCCCTTTGATGTGGGTCCATACCCTAGAACCTGGTCAACCTATGAAGTCACGTCCTTAAAGGAGACTGATGCTCCCCCTCCCAGCAGTCACATGTTGCCAATAGTTCCTCAGCTAGGATTGGGGTCTCTTACTCACTTCCCGCATTCATGCTGGGATTTTGTCTGGCTTGAGCCCACATTGGACTTGTGCATGCTGTCATCATTACTGTGAGTTCATGAGTAACTGCCTAGCTGTCTGCAAAATTCTGTTTCCCTCTGGTCATCCATCACCTCTAGCTCTCCTCCTCCTCTCCCGGATAAATTGCAGTTATTAACTGTATTGGCTGGTTTTGAGTGCTGTGCAGGCCTCCTTATCTGATGAGGTCCATGACTCTCAATGGGTGCCTGACACTGTGCATAGTGCCAAACTTCAGGCACACAAATTTAATGCCTTTGCATTTTAGCTAAGCATTTAGCACACTGTAGCCACAGTGCTTGTATTTTAGGAGGGATGGCAAAATTAGTGCACATTTCTAATCTCTTATAATTTAGAGGCAATTTCTTCCCACTATTGACCTTGTCAACCTCAGTATATAGTGATTTTTCTAATTAAGATAAGAATTTCTACCTTTAAACAAATACTTTAAAGCTTCCTATTGGCACATCTGAATGGCCCATGCTGCTCCTCTGAAGCTTTGGAGCTTCATTAAGTAAACAGAGGGTTACTTGATCACAAGCAGATCTGGTACCTGAGACAGCTGCTAAATGACTAATGGGTAGACAACGTGCACACAGGGATGGTTTGTATTCAGCAAACTGGAAGGCGGAGATATCAGTATACTACCAGCATCTGCACAGGCTGCTGGAGCTGATGGTGAACTCTGGTGACACCTCCTTCACTAATTCTGTAATGGTGAACACACCATTCCATCATACTGAGGCTTAGATTTGTTTTCTGTACAACTGGATTTATAAAACTCACCTGATAGGAATTCTTATGAAGGTTAAAGGAGACAGAGAGATGGTGTTCTAAAGCACTGAACACATGGAAAGCACTTTGAATGTGGTATTAATACAGATAACACACCTTAGTGGGTAAGAAAAACCAATCAAGCAAGAAGACATACAGGCTTTTTGCTTATATCTTTTATTGTTTTTATCAAAAATCTCCAGTGCAGTTTTCTTCTGAAAATGTTTACGCTTTATCCCCAGGAAAAGAAGTTTCACAACCGATGGAAAATTTGTTAATGGTATTATGTCTCATAATTATTTTAAAAAAAGAAAATGAGAATGTAAAAAAAGTTAAAAGGATATGGGAATGGAGATATTTTCCAAAATAGAAAAAATGAGAAAGCCAGCGATGAAGGACTGTTTAGGTTTGTTATATATAAAGGATGAGACAAAAATAATATACGCCTAATCTTAAAATTTCTATGGTCATAGTTTAGTCAACTAGTTTACGGAACAAAATATATATCTAGTCAATGTTTATCTGAGAATATTTGGTTCTTTACCTAAGACTTATCTGCATAGTACATGATAATTAAAAGTATCAGACTGGTGGAACTAAACTTATTGAATGTTTAACAGCCATACTTTAAGGCCTATACTAATGTGGACAGAGGGACTTAAAGGACAGTTTTTTCCCATTGCCCTCCAAGGTTGACCAAGTTCCAGGGGACTACAGAACATCTCTCAAAATGTCCTGCAAATGTGGTGAGTCACCTGTCCTCTTGTTCAGGGAGGACATGGAGACCCCATGAGATGGACTTGAACCAGTGTCCAGTCTACAAAGAGGAGGGTCAACTCAGAGGAAACATCTCATTCATGCTTTCAAATGAAGCCAGACATGGTCGAGCAGGACCTTTGACTTATCTTCACATAGATGGAACTGGTAAA